GTCGCGCAGAGGCAGCGGCTAGCCGACTCGACCGTCGTCTTGGAGGGGAGGCCGACCGAGGGCGCCTTCTTCCTCGCCGCCGAGCCGCAACCGGGGCAGGCAAACGAGACGGACCCGTCCGGCAGGACGGGGCCATGCGTGCTCGGCCTCAAGGACGTCGACCCCTTCGATTGCTGCTTCACCACCCGCTTCACCGCCGCGGCGTGCTACTACCAGGCGCGCGGCGAGGACTCCGCCCGCACCTGACAAACACCCAAACCCAACCCTAAACCCCACCCCCACCCCCACCCCCAACCCCCAACCCCCAACCCCCTTTCCCAACCCCCAACCCCCAACCCCCACCCCCCATCCCCAACCCTCACCCCCAGGCCCGCGGCGAGGACTCCATCCCAATCACGGCGAGCGGAAACGCCACGCTGGTGGTTGACGACTGGGAGCTGCCCGCGGCCAACTTTGGTGCGACCATCGCTCGCGTGCCCATCGGCTTCACCTCGGCCCTCACCGACTTCCGCGTCGGCATCAACGGCGGCCCCCTTGGCCGCCAGTTCTTCCTCGAGTTTACGTGCGAGGACATCGCCTTCCCGCCCGCCTGAGGCGGGAGGGGGCCTCCGCCGCCGCCGCGGCGGCGCGCGCAATGTACAACATGTGCATGGCAAGCGGTTGCCTACTTCCTCGGGGGGTCACTACGAGTCTGTGTGTCTGTGGAATAATATGTGGGGCCTGTGGAATAATAATCGTGCGTGGCCTCTCTCGCGCCGCGTCGCGAGTGGGGTCGTGTGGAGCACGTGGGTGGCTGGGTGCCGCGAAGGCGGGGGCAGCGCTTCTCTCGCGCGGGCCGTGGCGGTGTGCCGGTGTGGGCTGTGGCGGCCGCGGTGAGGGGGGCTGCTCCACTCGACTGCTCTGCGCGCCATCCGCGCATCTATCTCTCAGTCTCTCGCCTGCAGTCTCTCGCTCTCTCGCTCTCTCTCTATCTCTCGCTCTCGCTCTCGCTCTCTCTCTCTCTCCAGACTCCACTCTCTCCGCTCTGACGGCGCCCTGTGCGTCTCTAGAGGCTAGTGCCATTTCACTGTGGCACAGCTCGCGTTACAAAACCTTGATTTGACCATTTGCGCCATTTTGTCCCTCTCGGTGCCTTCCAGAGGCAGCTGCGACCCCGCCAAGTGGACGGGGGCACTCGGCAGGTGGCGCGGAGTGCCCCCGTCCACTCGGCGGGGTCGCAGCTGCTTCTGTGCGTCCTGGGGAGGGACAAAATTGTCGCCGCCGGAGACGACTCGACGCCGCTGAGATTGGAGATCAAGCTCTGACAGGTCGCACGTCGCTCCTTTGACGCCGACGTGACTCACCCGTGCAGATCACATCAGGACACGGTCTCGACGCGCTCGGTACGACGCCTGCGACCCGTCTCGGGTCAGGTGGCACGACGCTCATCGCGCCTACCAGCGCTGCCGTACAGGTTGCCACGACGAGGTCGAGCACGCTTCTATACGCTCGCCGAGCCTTCCTTTCCATCCAATTAGGCAGCCTGGGAACGGTGGCGGTCAGAGGCAAAGCCTACGAGGGGTGGTGGAACCACATGTCACGGCTACTGCCGGCTCGACCCCACGATAGCCTCCGAAGGCTGACTTTGCGGCACCATCATCGGACGATGTCGACGAGTTGGGTCGCTCTCGCGGTAGCCAGATGACCTCTCCTTCTAGGAGCATCGGCCATGGCCGCAGGGAGCGCGGGGGAGGGCGCTGGAAGCAACACAGAGCTCCGTTGGAGACGTTTTCAAGATTAGCGTGTCACTGTCAGAGTGAAATGGCACTAGCCAGAGCTCTGCGCTTGAGGAAGAGGATGACCGCGATGAGCTGCATGCGCCATGGTTTCCGCGCTCTCTCCTCTCTCGCCCGCGTGCTCGGCCGCGAGGGCTTGAACCATTTAGTCGGGGACCCGCCGCCAAACGCATATACACCAGGTCAACATATGTGCGGGCTGCCGGCGACGACACACGCGCACCCCACGCACACAGGCCGCCGCGCGCGCCTCTATCGTCCCATGGGAACCTCCTCGCGGCCGCGCCACAAATACGTTGTGAGAGCACGGCACGATTCACACACTCAGAGGACAGGTAGAGTTGGATGCGGAGGGAAGAAGGCAGTGATTGGCGGCTCGCCCTGGCCCTCGGAGGCTCAGAGCCAGAGGCGCCGGCAGCCCCCGCCCTGACCCTCAGACGCGCATGGTTGGCTCCGTCTGGCGCGGCTCCGTGGTGGGGGGGGCGCCGGGCTGTCACGCCGACGCGCTCGGCGGAGGGGCGAGGAAGGGCGCCGAGCCGAGCGGCCGCGGGCTGAGCCGGTCCTGCGTCGTTCACGCACGCGCGTCAGAGTGCGCGGGCGGGGGAGAGATTGCGTGGCGGGGGATGCAGCTGGGACGTGGCGGTCTCGAGCGCTTTGGAGGCGTGCCAAACGAAGGCGGCACGCAGGGGCGCCGCAGCGTCGGTCCTTGATCAGGGAGGCCATCTCTCGGCGACATCTCGGCGACATCTCGGCGACATCTCGGCGACATCTCGGCGACATCTCGGCGATGTCTAAGCAAAATCTCGGCGATGTCTCGGCGAAGTCTCGGCCATCTCTCTCTCTCTCCTTGATCAGGAAGGCGGCGCCCAGCGCGAGCCAGAGGGCGCCGGCGGCGACGAAGGCAACGCCGAGGACCTGGTTCACACACTGGCGGCGTGAGGAAAGCGAGGGGATCGCGCCACGGTCGCGCCGAAGGCAGGGAGAAGGGGCGGGGCGGGGCGCCGTGTTTTTGCCGCCGAGCCACATGAGCTCCGAGAGCACGACCTACAATTCATTCACTCGCAATGAATACTTGATTGGTTGATGAGCTGCCGCTCCGAGAGCAAAGACCTTCTTGGTGCCTCCAAAGACGCTCGTGTTGTACAGGCCCTCCATCGCCTCCTCGATCACGCAAGGCTCCTCCGGAGCTTGCTCCGCGGGAGCTGTCAGCGAATCGCAAGAGGCCGTCGGCGCCTTGTCATAGGAATACTTTTTGTACCCGCCGCCGGCGTCCACGCCGTTCGACACTCTCACCGTGTAGGTGCCCGGCTCCAGGTCCTCGTCGATCGTGGCGTACAGCTTGCGGAAGTTTGCCTGGCCGGCGGTGCGCATCCACACGATGAAGTGCTCGTCCTCGACGCACATGCCGGAGCCAGGGAAACACCAGCCGATGTTGGCGCCGGCCCCGCCAGGCGCGCGCTCGGCGTCCGCATTCTTCGCCACGCATTCGTCGATCCAGTCCGCGGGGAGCATGCCGTTGTACCTGCCATCGGCATCGAGCTTGACTGGACCAGAAAGCGTGGTCGGGACGCCCTCGCCAAACTCGGCGCAAGGCTGGTTGCGCTCAAACGCAAACTGCGCAAAGTTGGTGCCCGTGGAGCCGTCGGCCGCATTGTGAAATTTGAATTCGACGTCGGTCGCCCATGCGATGCCCTTGCTGGACTGGCTGACTTCAGTCCCGCCTGGCTTGAGCAGCGTCAGCGTGTCGTTGAAGACCGAGGAGGCTACGCGCCCGCACGGAGAGATGACGTTCTGCGAGGCGCATCCGAAAGTGGGGAGGCGCCGGTGCGGGGAGAGCGGGGTGGGGAGGGGGGGAGGGAGAGAAGGAGGGAGGGAGGGAGGGAGAGAGAAGAGGCGTTGCCTCCATCGCGTCGACGCCGGACCAGCCGAACCCGCCCTCACCCGCCGTTTCGCCGTTGACGAGCCTGCGGAACTCGGCCTCCGACCCCTGCGTTGAGGTAGCTGCGGTGCAACCAGGCAACAAGCTCTGGTCGAGCCCGCTCTGCCCAATCAGCTGGGGGTCATCGCGGTCGCGCACCTAGCACACGCCGCCGAGAGCGAGTCATGATGCGGGGCCGGGGCCGGCAGCGGCCCACCCGCCTCCCGCCCCGACCCCGCCGCCTTTGAGAGCCGCAACGCCCCCGTCCTAGCGGCCGTCGGCCAGGGAGGGGCTTTGGCACGAGTGTGGGGGGAGAGGCGCACGTATAGGCGGTGGTTCTGGTAGTAGTTGGTGAGGCGGTAGTACATGTACACGGGCGCCACCAATCTCTCCGTGACCTCCAACTCGAACTCGCACGGGTTGCTGCTGCAGACGGACGAGTCGGCGTAGTCGACGCTCGTCACCTCGACGACGCCAGCCGCGGAGATCAGGACGGGGATACCGATGGCGATGAACGCGACGCCAAAGGCGAGGAAAGTGGCGATCGCCACGCGCGGCGACAGCACCGGCCGCCACGACCAAAGCCGCTGCTGCTTGAGCGCGCTGTCTGCGAGCGGGGCGGCGGGCGAGGGCTCGGCGAGGGTGGGAGCGGAGGGCGGCGAGGAGGCGCGGCGGTCGGCGCGCCCGTCGGTCGTTTGCTTCTCGCATCAGCGCTCCGAGTGCCGACCTTGGAGCCCGCTCTTAGGATGGGCATCGACGGCACCGCGCGCGCAAGCGCGCGCGCAACCCGGACACCGGCGTCCTTGGCGCCGAAATGGAGAAAAAAAGCTAGCGTGCCGCCTCCGTATCGCGATGCGTGTCCGTTGTATTTATTTATTTATTCGCGATGCGCTCCCCACTCCCGTTTTTTTTTTAATGAACTCGGGGGCACGGGACGCGGCACAAACGGGGCACAAACGCCAGGCTACAAAGACGGGGAGGCACGTAGTGACGCAGTCCCGTTCCCTGTGTCCCTGATCGTCCTTCCAGATCCTGCGTGATGCGCTAACCGTCGCCCACCCTAGGGAGTCTGCCTCTTCCTATCTCTTTTCGCAGTCTCTCGCCGCTTCTCGCTGCAACCTTCATGCCACCTCGCGGTCGTCCCACTCTCGTCGTTCTCTCCCTTGTCACTTCCTCCTGTCGCGTCATTCTCTTCTGCCTCGTCCTGCCTTCTTTCGCCTTTCGGCGCAACTCCGTCCTCCTTGCTGCGTATCCTGGCCCCTCGAGTCTATCGAGCAAATGGGGTGATTCTTCCAAACACGACCTAAATGTTGCCGGCGATCGCCCTCGTCACGGCGTGGAGCAGCCCAGCAGCGTGGAGCAGCGTCGGCGGCGGCATCTCACCGACGGTGACGATTGCTGACGGCGTGCTCATGCCGCGCATCAGTCTCGGGACTTGCTGCGGGTCCGAGGTCACGCACGCCTTTCCGGCTTGGTGGACGTCCGGCGGCCGAGGCGTAGACACTGCCCTTGACTACGGGAAGGAGGTGCCCGGCGGCAAAGAGGCTGAGCTCAGTGCCGCCATCGCCAGCGTGGGTGCGCCTCGGAGCGGCGTCTTCATCACGACCAAGGAAAGCTCGGCAAAGGGCAGAGTGCGTTTCAGCTCGTGGACCTGACCCGGCGCTCTCTGCACACAGATCCGTGCCGGACTCGACCCGCTGCATCTGGGCCCGCTTTGCGTCGGCCTCGACGCAGACTACGCTCTGAGCGCCGTCAAGGCTGACCTCGCCCAGCTCAAGGTCTCGCGCGTCGACCTCGTGCTGGTGCGACCACCGTTTCAGATGCACTGCGGATAGGCGTCCGATCTTGGAGTTTCCTACTGGAGCCACCGCCGTGTCAGATGCACCGCGGATAGGCGTCCGATCTTGGAATTAGAAAGCCGCCTTCTACTATCATGCACTGCGGCTCCCAGCGGCCGTGACCCCCGCCCTCTCCCTCGGCCCTGCAGCTGCACGCGCCGTGCGCCTCCGATGCGACCAACGCGAAGCTCTGGCGGGGCCTGGAGGCGGCGCTCGCACAGAATCTGACGCGAGCCATCGGCGTGTCAAACTTTGACAAGGCGCGGCTGGGCGCGCTGCTCAAGGCGGCAGCGACCAAGCCGGCGGTCAACCAATGCCAGATGTCGATGGCTCATCAGGAGAGTGGGAGAGGGGGAGATGGGCAGGGGCAAGAGAGGGGCAGGGGCACTGCGTGCAGGCTGCAAGGCAGAGGGAGAGGCAGGCCTGGCGAGCTGTTTCAACCACCGGCAGCAGCGTGCCCCCCCTCTCCCCCACCCACCCACCCGCCCACCCCCGCGCAGGAGAGGGAGATGCTCGAGTATTGTGCCGAGAAAGGCATTGTCTTCGAGGCATACGCGGCGATGCGTGGCTGCCCCTTCTCCGACCCGCGCGTGCAGCGCGTCGCGGCGGCGCACGGCGTGGGGGCGTCGCAGGTGTGCTTGCGCTGGGTCCTGCAGACCGGGGCGGCGATGGCGGTAGGGCTCGGAAAGAACGAGAGCAGGATGCGCAGCTACGCGAGGGAGGACTTGGGCATCTTCGGGTTTGAGCTCAGCGCCGACGAGATGGCGACGCTCAGCGCGACCGGCACACAAATCAAGTCTTGCGCGCCGGGTGCCTAGAGCCGTGTAGTCTGTAGAGCGTAGTCCCAACCGGAAGGTGTGCTCGACCAGAACCACAACACGCGAACCACACGGCCAGGTGTGAGGTGACGAGAGTGAGCGAGTGACCAGTGAGCAGTGATCCGTGCGGTGGAGACTGGAGTTGACGGAGTTGTGGAGCGACACACAATCACCCACGAAAAGCTGCAAAATCAGCACAAGCACAAACCTCAACCCGCTCTAAAGCCGTAAGTGTAAGCCGTACCGAGCTCGCAGGACGCAGCAGCCAGTGCGCAGTGGCAGTGGCACGCAGCCCATTGCGTGCACGGTCACCCGATGCGCGGTACGCGATTGGCGTGCAAGGTCCGCTTAAAAGTTCACCGTGTGGCACACAGACACGTGGCCGGCGGGAGCAGATGGCGGGGCGAGAGGGGCAACACACACGGCAAGCGTCCGCATGGACAGCAGAAAAGTCGAGACGCGGGGAGAGGCGACAGGCGCGGCGCTTAAAACGCACCGACTCATGGACGGTAGACATGGAGCATGCGATCATGCGGGTTCGATGGAGCTGCAGTGCGGCACTAGCCAACGGAGGCAACCCTTCCGCGGGTCGGTCATGGGTTGCCGGAGCTGCGAGCCGCGAGGACGGCGGGGGCGGCGGTGAAGAAGCTCATGTCGCACCCGGTCGGCGATGGCTTCAGCCGTGATTTCTTCTCCCTGGGCTGCTCGAGAGGTTGGTTCTGCGCCGCCTCTGCTTTGACTTTGAGGAAGCTCGTGCGGGGGCAGAGCAGCCACGCAGAGAACGCCCAGGCGCCCACGCCGGCGGCGAGGCAGACAGCAGGGGAGGACATGACGGCGCGTGGTTCAGCGGAGACTCGGGCTACGGCGGTGACTCGGGCGATGAGGGCTGGCGCCGGGCGACGATTCGGTTACGTCAACAGAAAAAGAAAGTGAAGCGGTTCGCCCTGAGCTCAGGACCTCCGCGGAATTTTTCTCTTTCGCCCTTCGCGCTATTGCCCGCGCCGCGCTGACGCGGCCTTGCGCGCCGGCTCAGACGCCTGGCGCCTTGCGCGCCCGGCGCTCGCCGTATTGAGCGGTATGCGGCTGCGCCACGACTGGATCGAGCAGCTGCTGCTCGCCCCCTCGGGGCCTCCGATGAGCCGCGCTCTCCAGGCCATCTGCGTGCGGCAGCTCACCTGCTACGGGCTCCTGCTGCTCCAGCTCTACGCGGCGTGGGCGAGAGGCCAGCTCGTCGGCCACCCCTCGGTCGGCGCGAGCCTCGCGGGCCTCTGCGCCGGTTGCGTCGGCGTCGCGTGGCGCTCGCGGCCGGCCTTTGCTCAGCTGATGGCCCCCGTCGCTTTGCTCCACCTCGTGATTGCCGCGCTGCACGCGCTGCCTCTGCTGCGGTGGGCGGCGAGGCAGCGCTTCGGCTTCCTCGGCCTCGCCGTCCCCGCCCTGCTCCACTTCGTCGCCGCCGTCCTCGCCGCCATGGGGCTGCAGGCGGCCGCGAGCGCCGGCGCCGTCGCCGCGCGCCGCGTCGAGCGGAGAGAGCCGCCGGCGCCGTTTTCGCGCTCGCTCACCTCGCCGCGCCGAGCGCCGGCGCTGGTGGGGCGGGGGCAGGCGGCGGCCGTGCACAGGGCGCCGCCGATGCCGCCCCTGCCGCAGGCAGACCCTCGGAAGGCCTCCTGACGCGCCTGACAACGTCTTGTGATCTTGTCTTTGGCGCGTGGTGGCCACCGGCTAGCCATCAGCGGCGACCGACCGACCGGAGGCGAGTGCGTCCGGCGTGCTCTCTGAAGAGCTGTGCTGTGAGCGTGAGGGTCCGCCCGCAGGCGCATTTTGGATCCCGAGGCGGTGCCCGGAAAACGCCTTTTTTTCCTGAGCCCTGTTACGCACATCCAGGGCCCTATGTGCGCGCGCCGAGCTTTGGTCGTCGTCAGCGGAGCTGCGGTCAGCGCCGTCGGCGTGACGGTCTCCTGTCCAGAGTGCAGAGACGCCAAAATGCTTAGGGGACGCGGGGGGGTTACGGCTTACGGGGGTTTCTCCGCTGCGGAGTCGTGCGTGCGCGGGGCTCCTCTTTGCGAATACTCCCTACATACATCTCGTACCCGTTCTACCAGAGAAGACGCGATCCCTAGGCTTAAAAGGGTGGGCCCTGGGGCGCCTCCCTGCGGCTTAAACGCCTTAAAACGGGCCCGCCCGGGCCCGTTTTAAGGCTGCCTGGGCCGCCGATCATTAAACGGTCTTAAACGCTTAAACGGTGCGGGAGAGCTCCCGAGGTCGATGGTCTGGGAGGCTCCCGGTAGACACGCCGCAGGCCAGGAAGCTGGCTACAGTCAGCTAGCACGCGTCCCCTATGCGAGTATGGCTCCTGCCAGTGCACCAGACTTACAGATGTGTCTTCAGAGGCGGGGTTGTGCCTAATAACGGCAGTATTGGAGAAACGGCGCGGAACCCTGCGACGCATGTCGGTGAGGCCGATTTTCTTAAACGGTCTCAAAAGAGGGACCCCCCGTGCCTGCAATCTCTTAAATGGCAAGTTGAGCCCCCAAACCTCCTCATTTCTTAAAAGCTCTTAAAAAAATCCGGCCCTCAGAACCCTAGGGGTCCCCTACAAGCGCCAATGTGCGTGAGTGTTGGCCTCGTCACCGCGCCGTGTGTGTTGAATGTACGTCTCGTGTCGTGTGAGTGGTGAGAGACGCGCGGTTTGAGTGGATTGTGCTGACTGCTGTGTAAAGGGGAAGGACCGTGAGTTGACGGAAATCGAGGGACGCAACCCACTTCGCCACAGACGGTCCCGCGCGCCTCGCCGCTAAGTCCTAAGACGGGTACACGACCTGCGTGTACACCCGTCTTTGACTTTGTCCGGAGTGTAACAGCGAGTGAAAAGTCCAACGTCACCGCCATCGACGATCGACCTCGACGCCGTCGAGGCCGCCAAGATCAAGTCCTTCGCCAACGGCGAACCCCCCGTGACTGTCACCGCCGAGCAGATGGCCCTCGAGGACCTCGGCGGCAGCACGGTGCGGGTGACCATCGTGCAGGCCGAGGGGGGGCCGACCGCCCAAGACATCACGGCCGCCGCGACGCTGCCGGCCTTCCTCGCAAGCATGGCCGAGGAGCTCGGAGCCCCGGTGGGCATGGAGGAGGAGCCCACCACGATCTCGATCACGGTGCTCTACAAGCCGCCGCCCTCGGCCTCGCCCTCTCCGCCGCCGCCCTCGGCGCCGCCGCCCTCGCCGCTGCTGCCTGCGGCACCGCCCTCTCCGTCGCGTCCGCCACTACCGCCGTCCGACACGTGGGAATGCCCGGCAGGGACAGGAATGTCTCTGACGCAGGACGCCAACACCGGCGACAACGTCATTGTCGTCAATTGCTATGTCAGCGGTCTCCAGGTGGGCAGTATGATCACCCTAAACGGGGAAACCTACGAGGTGGCGGCCCTCGCATCGCCATTCGGCAGGCGCCGCCTCGCCGCGAGACTGCCAATCACGCTGGCAACAGCGCTGACGGGTGACGTGCCTTCTGACGCTTCGAGAGCGAGCACGTCCCATATACTCGTGCAACACTCCACCGCGCGCTGTGCTCGCTCTCGAAGCCCTAGTTCAGTAGTGTTGTGATAGAGGCTGCCCATACTAGCGCAGGAGCTGCCACACTCGCCCGGACCGTCTCCTTCTGGGGCCGGTTCCGCAGCCCGCGAGAGCCGACAGCCGACAGCGGGCGGCCGTGCCGCGGGTGCCTACTGCCGAGTGCCACAAACACTGCGCCGTCCCGCCATCACCTACTGCGACGGTGTATCAGTCGCCTTATGCCACCGTTGCATATCCGGATATGCAACGGTGGCATAAAGTGAATGATACACCGTCGCACCTACAGGTTGTCTTGTGTGATAGTTGGGATGTCCAAACGCCACCATCTTGGCTCTTGCGACCTCAAACCCGCGAGCTGTATGCTATGGGTGGTCCTGACGTCGACAGACGCCCGATGACCACGGTGATGGCTTGACGTAAGCTAACAAAATCTCTCTCTCGTAACACGTAAGCTCGGGTAGGAGGGCTGCCATCCCACGCCCCGGTGTTTCCAAAGCGGGCCAGAAAATAAGAATCCACCTCAAAAAACGAGTGCTCCGCAGCAACCTCGCTGGGCCAGAATATCGGCCCGCGAGGTGGGGTGCTAGTATGAGCCCGGGCCAGGTCGTAGTGCGCGAATGGATGCCGTTTGCACTGCAGCGACTGTCGGTGCAGCTCTGGATGGCGCTCGCGGACGAGGCACCGCAGCGCGCCATTGGTGCGGCGTCACGCGGCCGCGAGGGACCGCGGGGGGATGCTAGTGGGATGGGGGGCTCTGAGGGGAAGGGAGCGCGGGGGGCGCCCAGTAGGGCGCCGGCACCCCAGCGTAGAGGGCGTCGTGTAGCCTACACCGCTGTTCCTCACGGTACCACGCTACGCAAAGTAGATGAGCGCGTCGATGGTCCACGTCAGCGCGAACGCCAGCGGGATGAGCCAGATGAGGCGGCCGTCGAGGCGCTTGCGCACCTTGAGCATGTGGTCATATTTCGGCAGGATCTGGGCCATACTTGGGGTCGGCGTGCGCGTCGGGTCCTGCGGCAGCGCGCACCGGCATCGCCATGGACAAGGTGCGGGCGCACGAGATCAAGCTGAGGGTGCTCGAGAAGCTCACGCCGGCGCTCGGGCGGCAGACGGCCGAGCTCCTCGGACGCTTCACCCTCAAGGCGTCCACCGCGCTCAACCACGTCGCCCGGGGTTGCGAGCCCTCGGTCACGCGCGAGCCGCTCGAGTACGCGGGCGAGACGCAAGCGCAGCTCTTCCGCACGCTCACCGCCACCAGCCCCTCCGAGATCCGCGACGTGCAGCACGACGCCAACCCCGCCGGCCCGACGGAGCGGCGGTGCGAGGAGGCGATGCACCTCTCGCAGCGGAATGGCGGCTTCGGCTGGGCGCACCCACGACTCATCGCGCCGGCCGCTTCGACTGGGCGCGTGCTCGACGTCCTCTATCTTCTGCGGCGGCTCGAGGACGTGTCCCCATTGGTGCCGCCCCCGAACGAGTGGGCCGCGTCCGGCGTGCCGATGCTAGCAGAGGCAATCGCGTTCATCGAGGAGCTTGCGAGCAATTCGGCGGGCTTCGAGCGCGGCCCGGACAGCGACGCCGACGACTGGAGGTCCCTCCGCAACAAGATCGTCGCGGACGACGGCTCCGTCGACTACAAGGGGATCGAACAGGTCTCGGGGCGCCACTTCCAGCACGTCGCCAACAACGCCCTGCAGCAAGACATGTTCGACGCCATCGTCAACGACCCGAAGGTACACCCGGCGACGCGAGCGCACTTCCGCGCGACGAAGCAACTCGGGGCGGGCGCGGTGCTCGGCATCGACGTCGTCCACAAGGACGTCGAGCTGAACGACAAGGCGTGGCTCCACGAGGCGCAGGGCTACCTCAACCACCCCAAGGGCGCCATCACCCTCGCCACGCGCTGCGTCGGCGTGGGCCCTAACTCGGTGTGCATCTACCACCTGCTTTTGACATAAAGCCGTATGCGTGCCTGTTGGAGAGAGAGCTCGGAGAGTGTGTCTTGGACTCTGGAGGTGTGGCGGGGGGGTCTGCTGTGGAGTGTGGTGTGTGTGTGCGTGGTAGTGGATCAACACCAAGCTCCACAAAAACGTGGGAGGATTTTCCATTTGGAAGTTACCCCCCCCCCCCCCCCCCCCCACCTTGCCCCCACCACTCTTTGCGTGTGTGGAGAAATTTACCTTGCCTCACACCTTACCTTACTTTACACGATCCGGGTCTCGTCCTGCTCTCCATGTCCAAACGGGTGCGAGAGTCCTGAGGCTGAGCGAAGCGCTAATCCCCCCCTCTAGCGACAAGCGCCGCCACGTCGAGCGCGGCCGCCTGCCGCGAGTCGGCACTCAGCCGCGTCAACTCGGCTAGCAGCCGCGCCTGAGGAAATAGGGAGAGCTCTCGGACGAAAAGAAGAAGACGAAAAGAAGAACCAAAATACGCGTACGCTCGGCTAGCAGCCGCGCCTGCATTGCAGCCAGCGCCTCCCTGTACCGCGAGCGTGCCGCCTCCGACTCGCCGGCGCACCGCGCCGCGTGCGCCGCCTAGAAAGGAAAGTCTAACTCTCCACATACACGAGGTGGTCCAGATAGACAGGAGCCGCACGGCATTCAAAGTGCAAGGCCCAGTGCGCGTGGGTGAGCGGTGTGTGTGTGTGTGTGTGTGTGTGTGTGTGTGTGTGTGTGTGTGTGTGTGTGTGTGTGTGTGTGTGTGTGTGTGTGTGTGTGTGTGTGTGTGTGTGTGTGTGTGTGTGTGTGTGTGTGTGTGTGTGTGTGTGTGTGTGTGTGGTGTGTGAGGGGCGTGCGCCGCCTCAATCTCCCTCGCACGCGAGGCGAGCCCGCCGCCGCCGAGCCCGCAGAGAGGACGCGAGATGCACTGCGATGCACCGAAGTGGTCGTCGAGCGCGCAAGAGGCGGCCGCGCCGCCGGCGGGCGCCTCTGCGTCAGCTGCCTCTGCAGCAACCGCGCCGTCCGCGAAGCGCAGGTCGCTGAGGAAGCGGCCGCGCAGCTCGTGCAGCACCGCTGTGCGACCTTGCTGCAGCGCTGCTGCGCGCGCCGGCGTCCGCGGCGGATGGGGCGATCCTGCGTCATCAAAGACAACGGAATCAGGGCGTCGGAGGTGCACCGTCGGAGTCAGGGCCTACGCCCTTCGTTGGAGCGGGCACGGACAGCTAAACACGACCGAGTGCGGCGGAGTGCGGCGGAGTGCGGCGGAGTGCGGCGGAGTGCGGCGGGTGCATCCTCTCGAGCACTCGTTGGAGTCCACGGGAGGAATGCCCCACCTCGTGTCGTCTGTGTGTGCCGCTCCCGTGTGGCCGTCTCTCCGCCTCGCTTGCACCCCCACCCGTACCGTGGTCATATCTCCGTCATATCTCCGTCATATCTCCCCGCATCTCCCCGCATCTCCTTACACCTCCCCACACCTCCCCACATCTCCCCACATCTCCCCACACCTCCCCACACCTCCCCACATCTCCCCACATCTCCCCACATCTCCCCACATCTCCCCACCTCTCCCCA